CTAGCGTCATATTACCAATGAGAAAACAGGCTTGGAGAGTAATTTGCCCAAGGCTGCAGTGAGCTGAGATCTGAAGCCAGGCTTTTCTCTGTTACCTGTGTTCCTGACTCCTCTTTCCATGAATGTAACCTTCTTGTTATAGCTTTGACTCTGATTCAAAGAAACAATATATGTTTATATTAGCTTATCTTTTGTTCTTTTGATATCTATATTAAAGAATAGTTACCTTATAAACAAAATCATTTCACAGACTTTTGGAGTTAGGGATGAACTGAGTTGGCCCTCTTCCACTGAACCATACCTCCAGCCCAGCTTTTTGCTGGTTTTTTTGAAAATGGAGTCTAGCTAGCTTTTCTGTCTGGGCTGCCTTTAAACTATAGTCCTCCAGATTTTAGCCTTCTGAGTAGCTAGGATTATAGGCAAAAACAACCAATGTCTGGCGACTTTGCAAGCTTATGTGTATGTTGCGGGAGGGGGGAGTCCTAAAAAAACGCAGGGTGTGGGTGCTGTCCCTGTGCGTTTGTGCTCAAGGATGGCACTCTACCACTTGAGCCACAGCGCCATTTCCAGCTTTTTGGTGATTAATTGGAGACAAGAGTCTCAAAGACTTTCCTGCCTGAGCTGGCTTTGAACCTCCATCCTTGTATCTCAGTCTCCTGAGAAGCTAGGATTACAGGCAACTCTGCAAACTTTTTGACATTATTAATTTTTTGTGTTTAAATAGCTCTCAACGTGACTTTAACCCCCTCCCCCAATAACTTTAAAGACACAAGGACGAATGAGTGATATTTTGTATCAAAGTCTATAATTTACTAAGTATAGGCTGCCTGTTTTCTAAAGAAACACTCACCTGCCCACAAGGAAAACCACAATTTGAGGGTACCAATGGCTCACACCTATAATCCTAGCTAGTCAGGAGGCTGAGATCTGGGGATTGTGGTTTGAAGCCAGACCAGGCAGAAAGTCCACAAGACTCTCATCTCCAATTAAGCACCAAAAAAATCCAGAAGTGGAGTTGTGGTTTAAGTGGTAGAGCACGAGCCTTGGCCAAAAAAAGCTCAGGGGCACTGGCCAGGCCCTGAGTTCAAACCCCAGCATCAGCACACACAAATAAAAAGAGAAGAAAGAAAAGAAAAAGAAAAACACAATCAGAATTCACAAGCCCTGGAGTTTCTCTTTTAAAGATTAAGTGAAAACTATAACTAAAGAAAAATTATTGTTTAAGAGATATGAGTTAAATATTTCATAAATCTGCTGGGAAAAAAATCTGTAACAATTCTTGATGAACAACCTCCTAAAAGAGTAATTTTAATCTCTTTAGATCATAGGGGATTTTTTTCTTTTGGTGGAGACAGAAAACCTTGCTCCCAAAGTATCATTCCTGCTTTGTCTCACACAGTAAATCTAACAGATTTCATGAGCAACTGAAAATAGTACTAAGAAACACCTCACTTTTAAAGGGGAAAAGGAACCCTAACTTATTTAAATGTTTCCATGTTAAACCCACAGATAAAAAGGGTTATGATTTAGATGAATTGTACCAAAAGTTATTACAAAAATCTGGAACTAAAAGATGAGAAAAATATATGGTTATAGCTGGGTTCCATTCATTGGCTTACACCTGTAATCCTAGCTATTTAGGGACAGTGCCCAGATCCCAAGTCCAAGGACAGGCATGCTGTCTGTCTCTGTCTCTGTCTCTCTGTCTCTGACTCCATCTCTGTCTCTCTGTTTGTCTCTATCTCTGACTCTCTCTCTCTCTCTGCATGTACAGTTCTAAGTTTAGAGGTCTACATGTATTCACAGGAGATAGAATTTCTCTCTCATTTTTGAGATACAAAATCATCTCCACAATTAGGCTTGTGAATATGTTTACATTGTCTGCAATTTTTCTGTTCATAATAAAGTAACAAAGACTTTGCCTGAGAATTTGAGCATTTTTTTTAGGTAAATAACCATCGCTTTCTTTTGTTTTCTGTGCAGGTATTGAGGCTTGAATTCAGGGCCTCCATTCTCATTTGCCTTTTTAGATCAAGACTGGCAGACTCTCATTTGAGCCACAGCTTTACTGCTGGCTTTTTGCTGGTTCTTTGGAGATAAGAGTCTCTCAAAGCTTTCTTGCCTGGGTCAGTTTCAAACGGTGATCCTCAGATCTCATCTTGCTGAGTAGCTAGGATTACAGGTGTGAGCCACAGTGCCTGATTTTTGTAGTTTTCTTAATTTTATTTTCATCCATACTTTATCATACATTCACCAACAGAAATCTAAAGCCACCAGTGTCGACAAAACAGACCCAAAGAACACAGCCCTGAGGTGCTGCAGAATCAAGTGGTGCTTAGGATCACACTGTACATACTTCATAAAACCATCCTGGACCTAAGGAGACAAAGCCAAGTCCAAAATGCCCCAACTCTAACAGAGAACCCCACTATGTAAACTGAGGAGTCACTTCCCGGAAGTATGGTCCAGAAAACCATCGTGATGGTGGAAGTCATCTACTCTTAAAGATTAGCCCAGGTGTTCACAGGAATAGAGAGCTAGGCGGGGCCAGCCAGGGGGCATAAGGCCAGCACAGGTGGCACAGTGAACTGTTCTCTGGGATGGCCTATCGTCTGAATACCTAACGCCAAGACTAGACCTTGTGTCTGAATCGTGGAAGTGAGAGTGGAAAAGTGAAGTCGTTGCCAGATGATGCAAGGCTTTCAAAATACCCAGCCCAGGTGGTTGGCAACAGCTTAGGGGTCCAAGAAGATATCTGAAAGGGAGACAGACCTGCAGGGCAAGGCAGTGGGCGAATTGGTCTCGTGATGCCAGGGCAAGATGACCTGACTCGCCCCAGGAGCAGTTGGGTTTCCATCCAGATGAAGGATACAGAGAATGGGCCATGGAATCTAACAACCCTTCTAGGGAACTAAAGTTCTCCCAATTGAGGGACTAGGAAAATAGATCATAAGAGGACTTGACTGTGGACGGTAGGAAAGCGTATGGTTTAATGGAAGTGAGCAATTCTTGATTCTCAAGGAAAAAAATTCATGACTAGGTGCTTACTAGCTCAAGCCTATAATCCTAGCTACTCAGGAGGCTGAGATCTAAAGATAGCAGTTCGAAGCTACCCCAGGCAAGAAAGTCCCTGAGATTCTTACCTCCAGTGAACCAGTCAAAAGCCAGAAATAGAGGTGTGGCTCAAGTGGTAGGGATCCAGTCTTGAACAAATAAGGCAAGCCCTCAGTTAAAGCCCCAGTACGGGCACCTCCCCCACCCCTTCCCAAAAAATAGAAGACACTTCACAATACTCAAAAATCCACTTCAGCAAACATCAGACTCTGCTCAGTTGTCTAAAACCTATCCTTCTGACTCTTAACAGAAATTACATGCCTAAAACTAGTGGTAGATTTTGGCTTCATACATGCATTTATAAGCCAACAATGTGACCCGTCCTAGGGTAAAAACAAGAAAAATGTAAAGCATTTAGTTCTGACTTTTGAACTCTTTTCAAGACACTAATAGTTCATCTCCAGAAAAGCAGCAGTTTCTTCTCCAGTCCCAGGGCGTCCAGTGTATACATTCATTTTAATTTGTATATACTCATTATGTATAATTATTCTCACTTTGTAAACTAATAAAATAATCACAATTACGAAATACAATACTTATCAAAATGGGTGAACTATTTCACGTTGCTGAATCTGTGCTATATACATGATTTTTTTAGTATGATTTTTTTTCACAATTACCAAAAAGGCTAGCACTTTTTTGCCTTCATTTTCTAGTGTTGCCAGAGATTGAACCTAGAACCTTTTGTACATGCCAGGCAAACACCCTACCACTGAGCTACAGCCTAAGCTGTATTCACATGGGTGTTCATGTATTCTTCCTTGTCAACAATTTGTTCAACATTGCTCATGGGTAAACTCTATACTTGAATTGTCAAAATTGGCTCGACTGATTTCTTTTAAAATCGTCTTCTGCTTCTACTTGGACATTATCCTGAGGTTAGAACATGCACCCTAAGTATCATAATCCCATAAAGAAATATTACCTTCTTATGCAAATTCAGGCCATCTACAGACCATGAAGTGAAATCACTAACCATGTCACTGATATTCAGTCATATAACCTGCCAGATGCAATATGAAATTCTCCACTCAAAGCCATTCTGATAACATTGTCTAGTAAACTCATGAAAGGACAACAATAAGCCAGTACAGGAAAAAAGGATTTCTTTTACACTAAGATATACACACTCACACACACACATACATACATACACATCTGTGCGACTTAGAAAGGTTTCTCTTTTTTATTTTTAACTCTAATCAATTCAGTTCAAGATTTGAAACAGCAGAACCTTCTGTATGTATTTGAAAGAAATTACTTTATTTTAAAAATATATACATGTGGTCCTGAATAGCTATAATCAACTAGGGCAGAAGTAGTAGCTCCACACCAGACATATTAGGAGCTGGCATTTGGGGTGAGAGTCCGCACGAGGTGTCCCGTGTAATGAGAGAATGAGGCGAAGGGAGAGATAAAGCAGCAAGCCAAAAAGCACAGCAGTACAAACATCCCAGGGACTTCCTCTCATGTAACCCACAAGCTGCTCCCCTAGTTTCAATAAATGAACGACTATTTTCCTCCTAGAGCCTAACATCCGGGCCGTTCCTAGCGGTCCTGATTGAGAAAGGAACTTTGCAATGGTCTCTTGTCCTATCTTGGTTACCTGGGGAAGAGCTACCAGCAGACAGAACTATTTTGACGATTATTAAGTCATCCCACAAGTCTATGGGAGCTCCAAAGAAACAGGCAGGATTCTGAGAAGCAGATGAAGTTCTTAATTTAAAATAGAAAAAAGAATTCACAATGATAATAACTCCGAAAGGTGTGATCAGCATCATTAACACACAGGACGGCTCAAAGGAAAGGGAAGGGGGTTGGGGAGAAAGTCCTTCTGGTGGACACAGCCCTCTCTGACAACAAGAGGCTGTTTCCTTTGGTCTTACCTGCTAGCAGTTGTCTGAACCAAGGCTACGTCCTGGGTGGAAGTGGTTGGTTTCTCCTTTGAAGAACTTGTCCCCGTGGCTCGTCCTACAGCCCCCAACAGAGAGGTTGAAGTCCTGGGACAGCTACCCAGCCCCACAAGAATAGAGAAGAGAGAGGGTTTCCCACTTGCTTTCCTAGGACTAGCCAACAACTGAGGTCATGCAGGAAAGAGGGCAAAAGGCAGCCACCTCTCCCTGAAGCCCTCAAGTCCTGATCCGCACAACTCTGAGCTGCTTCTCTATTCTCCTACCCAGACTTTTTGTTTGATAGGTTGTCTCCCCCCCTCCTCTGTCCCTTTACTGTTGCTAGGTGCTGTTGGGTGCCGAGCTGAGGTTTCTCCTCTGGGGTTGTCTTCCCAGCCGGGTCTGTGCAGTGACTTGGCTGGAGCTGAGCTCGCTGCTTGCTATATTTAAGCAGTGTGCTCAGCGAGTCACGCCTGTCAACAGCTGAGAAGTTTCTAGCCGGCTCTCCTCAGTCCCTCAGCAGCTGAGTTATCACTGACCACCCTGGAAAAGACTGTTGGAGGAACCGGCAGACCCTTTTAAGGACCTCTGGTCTCTCCCTGGAGGTAATTGCTGTTTGAAGCTCTTAGCTGGAGATGGTGATGGGGGAATTAGGTTTGAAAAATCTGAGAAGAAACAGAGCCGGCAGTTGTCTTGAGCAGAGAGCCATTTACCAAGGCAATATTCTTCTCAATTAGACGCTCCGCAGATAAGGCTTTGCAAGTGGTTTTAAAAAGGTTTTAAAAAAACAAAAAGAGAGAAAGTGTTGGACAACTGTTGGGGAAAGTTCCCAGTAAGAGATCGTTTCTGAGCAAGGCACTTCCTCGTTCATAAAAGACTTGACCAGCTGAGTATCTGAATGCTATTTATTAAAAAAAAAAAAAAGCCTAAAGACGTGTCTGTGATTTTAGGATTTGGAAAGAAATAAGATGGGGGGGGGGGGAGTGTTGTCACTCAGGTGGCACATTCGAAGTAACAGACTGGGAAGGAAAGCCGGTACTCTGCCTCTCAGAAGCCCCACCTACCCTGAACCCTTCACCTCCCAAACCAGAGAAGCCTCAGGCTCGCCCTCAGCTGAAACATGAAGACCGTCAGAGACACACAGAGAGAGATAGAGAGAGAATAATCTCTCTCTATATATATGAGATATATATATCACAGAGATATACAGAAATAATTATATATCCATATCTCCATCTAAATAAATAGAGATAGTTATGTATATTTAATATAGCTATTTATAATCTATCTATATATAGATCATCTATTTATAGGTGATCTATAGATACATATAGATATACATATATATCTAAACATTTAGAGATATAAATATGTATATATATGTGAATATGTATTTATATGTATATATGTATATCTTCAGTCTATATCACAAAACAGCACAAATCTGCCAAGATGATGACTCAGAAAATAGGGTGGAGGGGAGAATGATGGAAGGGGGTGACCTTGATCAAGTTGCATTGTACACATAATTGACACGTTGAATCGAATCTCCTTTGTACAACTACTTACAGATAATAAAATACTTTTTAAACAATAGATTATGTATTCATTTCTTGGGACTGTTTTACTAATGACTTGTGGGCAATTAATAGCAAAGGAGATTATATGAAGTCCTTTCCGTCACAGGTAAAGTAGGCAGACAAACAAAACATTATTGGTTAATAAACTAGAATATCATCCTTTAAAAAAATCTCATCAATAGCATTATAAATGTTGATACCCAATTTACCAAGTTAAAGATACTCTCTTTTTTTGGGGGGGGGGTCTGAACTCTGGGCCTGGGTGCTGTCCCTCAGCTCTTCAGCTCAAGGCTAGCGCTCTACCACTGAGCCACCTCCCCAGCCCCAAGATACTCTCTTTTTAAACCAAACCTGGTAGCACAGACCTGGGAAGCTGAGATCAGACTGAGTTACACAGCTACATAGCAAACCTGAATCAATCAGTCAATCAACTCTGTAATATTCTCTCTCTCTCTTTCTCTCCCCCCTCCCCCTCCCTCTCTCTCTCTCTCTCTCTCTCTTTCTCTGTCTCTGTCTCTGTCTCTCTCTGTCTCTTTATCCTTTCTTCTTTCCTTTTTGTTTTTCTGTGCCAAGGCTTCAGGACCTCTTGCTTCTCAATTTCATCATTCATGGCTTGTGCTCTACCACTTGATCCACCCTTCCAGTCCAGCATTTTTCAGGTTGGTTGGATATGGAGTATCTGGTTTTGTGTTTTTTGGTTTTTTTTGTTTTTGTTTTTGTTTTTGTTTTTGCTCAGGCTGGCTTTACACTGAGATCCTCCAAATCTCAGCCTCCTGAGTAGCTAGGATTACAGACATGAGCCACAGTGCTTGGCTCAATTCTCTTTTTGACATGCAAACTGCAGACAGGTCCAGGAAATATGTACATGCATGGATTTAAGTTTTTACGAATTGCATGGTGGCAATGTGCAGTTATTACTGAGGAACACCAAGGTCTGTCTAGGAGAGCTTGCCATATCACACAGGTGCGGAGGGTGGATGTATAAAGGAATGACCCTCACCATTGAACTAGCTGATTCCCATACCTCCACCATCAGACACATCTGTTTCCATCCTCAGCAGCACACTGACAACCAGTATCTTTTCCCCTGAACTTATTTATGACTTAACACATGTAAAACTGCATTTTTTGCAGGTGTAGTCTTTCTGGGTCTAGCCTATCTTGATTTAAAAAATATTAATAATGTTTATTAAGATGAAGGTTCTTGCGTGTGAAATGAACTGTCTCTTCTAGAATGGATATCATAGAAGTGTGGACTATCCACACTCCCTACAGGTGGGTTCTGATGTGGGTGAAATGTCTGCCTGAGCTATAGAGTAATGTACACCACCAGGACAACACTATGAAAGGGTTGGATTGGGCTATTATTCCTTAGAAAGCACACTCCACAGCAAACCAGGTGTAATGTCCCCAGGAGAAAAACCCCAGAGAATGCTGGGACTGTATGATTCACCCTGCACTGAACAATTTTATAGATGTATCCAGTCCCAATGAAGCAGAGAGGAGTAGAGCCCAAGTTCAGATAAATGAGAGGAAATGACCCAGTGTGCCTTTATGCATCTAGACAATACCAGTGGAAGTCTACTAGAGTTATTTCTTCTGAAAATATCCAGATAATTAGAAATTAATTTATATGTTGTTGTTGTTGTTGTTTTATTGCTTTGTTTTGATGACAAGTATGAGGCTTCAACTTGGGGCTTTATACTGTTTCACTTATAGTGAGTGTTCTATCACTTGAGCCATACTTTAGGTTCTGGCTTTTTGCTGGTTAGTTGGAAATAAGAGTCTCTCAGATTTTCCTGGCTGGGCTAGATTCAAATCTAGATTTCAGCCTCCTGAGTAGCTAGGATTATAGACATGAGCTAGAAGTACCTAGAAAAGATTCAGTGTTGTATTTTGTGAAAATTGAGTTCTTCATCATTGTGGTGTAGGGAAATATATGTTATCCTTTGGACTAGATGTTTAATATTACTATTATTTTATTTTGTGTGTGCATGTGCCTATACTGGAGCTTGAACTCTAACCTGGTTTGGTTTGGTTTGGTTTTGCTTTTTGCTTAAGTCCGTTGCTCTACCACCTGAGCCACAAGTCTACCTTTTGATGGTTAATTGAAAATAAGCTTCTCTGAGGTTTGTCTGTGCAGGCTGGCTTTGAACCACAATCCCCAGGTCTCCTGAGTAGCTAAGATTACCTAGGATTACAGATGTGACTCATCAGTGCCCAGCCTTGTTTGTTTTAAAATAGTGTCGGGAAAAGCTCAGGGCCAACAGAGCATGTCATGTAATTAAATTAGGGAGTGTTGCTACCTTCAGATTATGATCTGCAGTTTCACTAGTCATACACTGTATGTGCAACCAACAGTCTCTCTCCCTCCCCCCCTCAAGTGAATTTATGAAGGCTTTCCCCTCGAGAATCATTATTCAGACTAAAGCATTTCCTACCCAATCCACAGAGGAAGAATGCCATTAAAAACTATTAGAAATGTGTGCTTTGTACACAGTCAATGAGGAACTGATTTTCAACACACATTATTAATACAGGGCTGCATCCTTTCCCACCGCTTCAGTGTGAGCATCCTGAGAACTGTGGCTGAACTTCAAGGAGGAGGAAATCATGAGATGCATTTGTTTTTAAATTGAATTAACAAATGTTGGCATGGTGGGGAGTAGAGAAGCAAACGAATTAGATAAGAACATACATCCATGCCTACAATATTTCTCCTACCTAGTTTCTTTCAAAACAATAGTGTGTGTGTGTGTGTGTGTGTGTGTGTGTGTCCGTATTGGGACTTGAACCCAAGGTCTCTCACCCTCCTTCAGCTTATTCCATTCAAAGCTGGAACTCTCCTACCGATCACAACTCCACTTCCAGCTTCTTGCTGGTGAATTGGAGATAAGAGTCTCATGGAATTTTCTGCCTGGCTGGCTGTGCTTGGTGATCCTCAGATCTCAGCCTTCTGAGTAGCCAGGATTAGAGATGTGTGCTACCAGTCTCCCACTGTATGTATTTGATGCTTTGCTTTGGCTTTGCTGATGGAGTCAAGGTTGCTCACATGGGACCAGTGTTCTACCATGAGCTGTACTCCAACCCCTAAAAAAAGTCCATGTAAACTTCCGTAGCATTAGAGGCAGCTGGGGGTGGAGGAATGAGATCATTTCATAATGAGCACAGCAAAATAAAAACTCACTGGAACTGAAGTCCTATTGGACACCAGAGAAGAGAAAGTTGGATTATAAAGAAGATAATTGCTTTAAGAAAAAAAAATCTATTTTTAAGCAAAGGATGTGAGCTATTTAGCATTCCCTCTAAATCAAGCAATGCATGATGATATTCTGTGATGAATGAGTTTACGGCTTAATGAAATCCTACAATTATATTCTAAAAATATGCTTTGGGACTATGATTTGGTAAGCCATTTAGCAATGTTTATGAGCTCTGTGTTTACAACCAACTCATCTCAAAGATGTAACCAACAACAAGAGAAAACATGCACACACACACACACAAAGACAATGGAGGGGAAATTATATATTAGCTAGTTATTTGGCATGAAAAGGATGTTGTGTTGTACTGGGTATAATCAGGTTTTACAATTAGAAAATGTGTGCCTTTTCTATTGATCTAATTATGCTTCTATTTAGATTTTATAAAACTTTAAAAGGAACAACGCTGTTTGCATTATCTGCAAATATTCATAATCAAATATCTACTT